CTGTCCACATTCCACAGCAGTACCCGTTCATTGCTCATCCACGACAATCTCATGAGCAGATTCCTCGGCTTAGCTCTGCCGAGTCAAGCACTGGGGGATCCGATGCTACTTCGACTTCAAATGCGGTACCGACAACCAAACCTGTAGGTGCTACTGCTGATGGCGGTACTTACACTTGTACATACCACGGCTGCACCATGCGATTCGAAACCCCTGCTCTGCTGCAAAAGCATAAGCGTGAGGGGCATCGGCAGACTCAGGGTATCGGAGGGCCCAGAAGACCTGAAGCAGTTGCCGCATCCCCCGACAGCATCCTCAATAGTCAAGCCGGACCTCACCGCTGCGATCGTATCAATCCTAGCACGGGCAAACCGTGCCACACAATCTTTTCACGCCCGTACGACTTGACTCGTCACGAGGATACCATTCACAATGCGCGGAAGCAAAAGGTGCGCTGCAATCTTTGCACCGAGGAGAAGACGTTTAGTCGTGCCGATGCGCTCACGCGACACTACCGAGTCTGTCATCCGGATGTTGAATTCCCAGGCAAGCACCGACGCCGGGGGCATAATGTCTGAATGCGCTACGTTTTCAGGCCAAGACACACAGCTCGGATGGTGTCTGCTTCGCGGCGGCTTTACACTGGTCCAGTTGGCAGAAGAATGCGCCGACCTCCGAGGAAGCTAATGGTCTACCCAATTATCGACAATAGCGTGCACCATCCCCGAGCATGAGGAGTGAATCAGGGATACAGGACAGTCGGGCGAATCAACAGGGGTGGAAATTCAGGGTCCTCGATGGTGCAGTAGGGGTCGTGCAACATGACATCACATAGTCCGTGCGCAACGACCCTGACGATCCATATGACCCGTAATGACATCATTTACCCGCCATTTCCTACTAGGTTCACATCGCCAGAAGTCGTGCAACTTGCCCGACTCCACTCAGCGACATCATCATGAGTCTTGGCATCATCATCCACCTCTGCCTGAGTTCATCAAATCGGGAATTGATGGGACGAGTTGGGGAGGATGGATGATCATGACGCTACACTATCTATGCTCCTGCCACAGGCTCCTGCATTCCATTTCACGCCATATGGACGGTCCCGACCAGCCCCGACTCGGAAACTTGTGGTTCTTTACCCAGATGATGCAATCTACGGCCTTAACCACTGCTCGGACGGGGCTTATGCATTTCTTTCCCTTTTGAGAAGCAGCGTTGTTTTAACCGCTTCCATCAATTACTTTACTTTTGCGATGGGTTTGGGACTGGAAACGGAGCGAGTCTTTCACATCTCCCATTCTTCCACAAGACGATTGTGTATGACATGTTGTACATTATGTTATAATGGTCCAAGTCGAGACCACAAGGCTAGAGAAAAAAAAGGTTGGGGAGGGAATGGGATGTCCTAAGGGCACGCAGGCGTGGTTGGTTCTTACGAATGTAATGATGAGGGAGGAATGATGCATTATAGAAATATTAATATGTAAAACACCACCCCCATACTGATCCAATGCCCGGCCTTGATTCTTATCGGTCAACACTTGCGTCCTGTTACATACGGAAATGGTTGACAACTGGCTGAAAATATCACAGAGAGACTTAGACTATATCCCTTCACGATGATGCTCAAATACACATTGACTAGACAAGCACATAATACTCTATGTTTGAAATAGTTGTTCGCCATTTCTTAGGTGAAGTCCCAAAGTCGGTTATCTACTCAGCAACCGAGTCTGTATGGTCGATGCTAGTCCCTAGAGCTCCTTCCTCTACTCTAGCAACCATAGCTATCTACGAAGCACCAATGACATTTGGTACGCACGTTCAATGGTCGGGTCCTGCAGCGTGCCCTAGCCATCCTACGCCGCTTCCTCGCCCAAGACGGCTGCGCGAGCAGTCTGGTAGAGAGGGGTGATATCCGTCCATTTCTGGAACTAAATTGAATCCAAGTTAGCTTCCTATGTCACATTCATCTACTTGGGTGCCACGTTTCCACCGTCCACAAACATTCACTTACCTGGTACCAGCCCTGAGCTGAGAGCACCTCGAGGCCAGGGATGGTCTCCCACCCGGCGTCCTCGGCCAATTGCATCAGTGGTGTATGACGAGGCTGGTAGGCCATCTCAAGAAGGACGCGTTTCCTATCGACTGTCGTGTCTTGACGCAATACCGCCATGAGAGTTTCTCGGAGCGAGGGATCAACTGGCTTGTCGGCAGGGATCGTGCTGATCATAACGGTAGGCGAGGATGCTAGTGCAGGAACTTCGCTGGCATTCTTGAGAGCTTCGATGCGATAATCCGAGGGGAACGACGCCTTCAGGGCTTCCAGGTTGCCACTGTTGCGTGCTAGAGCGTAGATAGGCCCGAAGCCAAGTGCGTGCAATGCGAAGATGGCGGCTCTTGTTGTTCCGCCTGAGCCAATAACGATGGCAGAAGATTCAACGTCTTCTGTCGATTGGGACGAAACACCTGCCGACTGAAGAGAGTGAACCATACCTGACCAGTCAGTGTTGTCACCGATGAGCTTAGCCGTGTCTCCGCTGGTTGATACTGGGATGATAGTGTTGACAGCGCCAATGATGCGAGCAGCCTCCGAGACTTCGTCAATTTCCTTCATAATGTCGAGCTTGAGCGGGATTGTCACGGAAGCGCCGCCAAAGTCGGGAGCTCGGATCAACTCGCGTACATCGGCCGCGTCAGTCGTTTCTTTGCGCAGGTAATGGTGCGGCAATCCGACCAAATCGAACAAAGTATTGTGCAGAGCAGGTGATCTCGATGCTGCAATGGGACTACCGAAAAGATAGTAGGTTTGCGGGTTAATGTCACCAAGCAACGCCAAAGCTTGCCGGATCTCGGCCGCGGACAACTGCCCCGGGGCTGCTTTGAATGGCAAACTGGGATGGGAGACAGGGGTGAGGCAGCCGTTCAGGACACGGCTGAGCTTTCCAGCTTGCCCCATGTTCAGCGCAATGATCGGGATTTTGTGCGAAGACAACATCTCCAACTTGAATTGGGCTAGGTCATAGTTGTCTTCAATTCGTTTGGCGACACCAACCAACTTGATCACGTCACCCCATTGAAGGGCCTTGTTGTAGAAGGGGATCCAAGAACCATTCTTCCAAGACAAGTTGCCCTGAGGATCATGGTGGGAGGCAATGATACGCGCGGGTCCCTTGTTCTCCACGACTGCTCGAATGACTCGCTCTGGGAGTGTCATCTCGACATCGATGAACTCAACCCCCATGCGGATTGCTTTTTGGTACAGACCAAGGGCTTGATCATGGGCGTCATCGGGGAACTTTCCACCCTGAGACAGTGTGCGCAGAGTGAAGATAATGGGCACGTCTGCCACCGATCTAAGAAGCGCAACCTGGTGTGCAACGAACTCTTCAGAATAGTCTTGGAGCAAGTCCACGCGGAGCTCCACGGCGTCAGAACCGACCACAACAGCCGGTATCAGAGTGAGAGCTGACGCAACCTCTGGTATCGTGAGGGAAACAAAGAAACTGGGATTCTTCGCCAGTGCCTTATTGACTTGTACCTGCTCTCCGCACAAAACATTGACGAAGCGGCGGAAGTCTAGCGGCGGCTCCCGTGTAGCCAACGTTCCTGGGGGATGAGGGCTGAAGTACTCAAAGTTGCTGCACTGCTCGAAGAAGGGCTTCCGGCGCCAGTAGACATCTTCAATGTCTTCTCTGTAGGCCGGTCTTGATTTGTCCTGCAGAAGGTAGTCGACGACTTCCTTGGTATTACGGTGGACGAGTAACACAGTGCCGTTGTTCTGGCAGTGGGCGACGAGCAGTTTCCGAGCTTCAGGAGTCTCTACAATGCCGCCGCCACATGAGAAAATATACCCGTGGCTCTGTTTCTCCAGGACATCCCGGAGAAGCTCAAGCTCGTCGCTTCTGAAGCCTGTCCACCCTTTGGAACCTCTGATCATCTCCGGAATTGTCATGCCTGACCGCCGTTCCAGCTCTTCATCCAAATCGATAAAAGGCCTCTTGAGCGTCGCGGCCATCCATCTTCCCGCAGTCGTCTTGCCTGCGCCACGCATACCAATGATGACAACAGACTTATCCTTACGAGATCTCGTGGGAAGTCCCGTAGCCACTGACTTGGGTTGCTCGTCAATGCCGTCAAGCTCAATGTTGAAGAACTGCGACATGGTGTCCCACCACCCTGGCCATGTCTTGCCAGTGCATTCCCTCTCAAGAATCGTCACAGGCTCGGGGGATACCACTGAAAGAACGCTGAAGCTCATGGCGACGCGGTGATCGTCGTAGCAATAAATGCTTTCGGTAGGCTGCTGGAGCCCCTGCACAGCGCGGCCGGTGACGATGATGCCGTCGTCAAATTCGTCAGTCTCAACGCCAAACTTGGCTAGTTGCTCGCGCATTGCCCCGATACGATTGCATTCTTTCACGCGTTGATTGGCGATGCCGCTGATCTTGGTTGTTCCGGATGCCGCAGCTGCTAAGACGGAGGCTGTGAGGAAAGCGTCTGTCATAGGTTCCATATCGACATGCTCAATCGCTTTGAGACCGCCAATGGACGGGCCTGTGACAGTCGTCGAAGTTCCAGTCTGCTCAACCGTGCATCCCATAGGTCTCAGCACGTCAACAGCAAACCTAGAGTCGCCCTGAAGTGACTCTGAGCCAATGTTGGGCACAGTACAAGTGGTGCCGGTAATGGCTGCAATGGCCAGAGGGTAGGTAGCGGAACTGGCGTCGCTCTCCACGACGTACTCGGCTGGGTTTTGGTACACTGCCTTCGGGATGTGGTAGGTATTGAGCTCCGTTGTCGATTTCGTGACGTTTACGCCGAAGGTCCGCATCATCGAGACGGTCATATCAATGTAAAACTGTGATATGGGCTTTCCGCCTACGAGTCGAAGGGTGACTGGGTTTTTCGCGTAAGGTGCAGCCATGAGAATTGACGACACATACTGCGATGAGATAGTAGCGGCCAATTCTATGACACCGCCCTCGAAGCCCTTGGCAGCATCCACCTGGAGAGGAAGACTCTTCTCTTGCCCGAGGTATTTGATTCCCAACCCATTGGCCCTGAGAGCATCGACCAGAGGACCAATTGGACGAACTTTCATGCGAGCGTTGCCGGTAAGTACTGTGGAAGACACTCCAGACGGCGCACAAAGAGCCACAACAGTCGTCAAGAATCGGGATGCGGTACCAGCGTTGCCAAGGTACAGCGCCTCTTTGCTAGCATTGAGCTCGCCGCCTTTGCCTTTGACAGCTAGCACCTCCCCGGCATCTTCCCAAGCGTATGTTGCTCCCCCAAGCTGAGCAATGGCTGACAACATGTACTCTGTATCGTCAGAATGCAGCAGGTTCGTGATCCGGCACGTTCCCTGCCCGAGAGCAGCGAGAACAAGGGCACGGTTGGAAATAGACTTGGAGCCCGGGGGGGTGACTATGGTGCTGTGAGACTTCGGCATGCCAGGTATGACCTGAGTTGCCGATGATAGGACTACCCTGATGACGTGGTCTTGGACTACGCTGGCTTTTTGTTCGTGGGTTTTTCCGATCGCGGAGAGGAGCACAAT